AACATTTTAATTTTAGTCGATCATCTCGGTAAATATTTATCGTATTTATTAGTCAGTCTGGCGATTCAAACGACTGGACACGTGTAAAGCTGTCGGTGATTTTTTTGAATTGTTTGTGTGATTGCACGTGCATCCTAGTCTTGCGTTGAAGCAATGTTGATAACGAGTTGATTAAACAACGCTTAATCAACGTTATTTCAATGTTATTTGAAACAACATATAATAAACGTTAATTAAATACGTCATATGCCTGGTGGGCTGTTATGCCGATCATTTCAGTTGCATAGAAAATTTCGTATGTTCACCAATTCTTGCCGAAATATCTAGAATATTTTTTTTTACTTGCGTTTGAATTGTTCACAAAATTTCCGTTGTGAGTGTACGGCGAGCTGCCGACGTTACTCGAAAAGCTTGATTCTTTGCTAATTTTTTTTTCTGTTATTTTGGTTCATGTTTTAGTGCGCATTTTTGAACATCGGCACATGAAATAATTTTTGAAGTTAGTCTGGTTTCGCCCACTAATGAATTCAAATAAAAATTTAAAGGCAAAGAAAATTCCACAAAAATTCATATCTATATAGAAAACGTTTCTAGCTTCATCGTCAGTTCGTAGAATCTAGGATTCGCATAAAAATCGCAAATTAATACAATTAAAAGTAACAGAACCGAAATTAAAACCTAACTTGATAAATAATCGACAGAGTAACAAAAAGTATTTATTCACAATTTCAAGGGGATAGGAGCTAAAAGCTGAATTCAAACTGGGCCTAAGTTTAATTAAAAATGTACAAGGATTCTAAAATACGTATGCGTTTTTTATAATCCTTGTTTACTTAATCCTTAATTCCCCGCGATTTGACATAAATTCTTGAAAGAAAGTGACATCAATTCTTGAATTCAAATAGTTGTTAATTTGTTATTATTCAAATTAGTTATTAATTTGGTATTTATTCAAATAGTTATTAATTTGTTATTAATTCAAACAGTTATTAATTTTGGTATTGATTCAAATAGTTGTTATACTATATTCATCCTCAAGCGGTTATTACTATTAAATATAGGTATATTATATTATAGGGATTATTATATTAACTATATATATTCATTCCTTGGTATTTTTGACTTTTCCAAAAATATTTTCTAAAACAAAATCTATACTTGATTTTTAGCTTTTTTTCGTCCTTGATTTTTTCAGAATTTTGCATTTGAATTTTTTTATTCTATATCTAATTAGGAAATTAACATGGGTTATTTTTAATGGTTGTTTAAATTTCTATTTCTATTAATTTTTCATGCTTTCATCCATTTGATTCATATTTATTCTTATTCATTTCAATCCATTATATTCATGCGATCAAATTTTTCTACATTCATTATTGTAGTTCCTGGTATGACATGATATTAAATTATATCAATAAAATAAAATTTTAGTAAAAAATTAAAAGAAAAACGAAATTTATATTTTTTGAATTGTTGAAAACTTGTTTGTCGTGTATTTCCTAATAAAATTCCCTGAACTAACTTTTTTTCTCTAAATTCATTACGAATTTTCAAATATTTATTATTCATATATTTTTCACACTATACAAATTAACATTTTTCTAAAACATACTTATTTCACTTCTCAATAAATCTATCAGTTTGCAATTAGTGTTCGTAAAAAATCCTTCAGAGTGATTTGCTATAATCCTATAATTTCACTCCTATGATTTTTTCCAAAATTTTGCTATGCAAATCTTGTTGAGTCATGAATTTCACGGCATTAAGCTTTCCCGAAGGAAATTTTATTGATATAAGTCCACTTTTTAATTTTTTTTTTTTTTTCCTAATTAATCTAACGTCGTATTTTAAACGTAAATCTTTGAACATCACTTGTACAATCCACTTTACAATATCTGCTTTAATAGATCTTCGCTTTTAGATTGGATATAAAATTTTTTCTCGCTCTTAATGTTTCCATGTTTTATTCTTGCTCTACTTATACTTTTTTCGTCTACCTCGTTTTTCCCTTTTGTAAAATTTTATTACAAGCGAAAGCTGAGTTCGCAATAAATTTAGTTCCCTCAGGCAAACGACGTTAAAAAAATGTTTATTTCAACGTTGATTCAACTATCCAACGTTCATTTCAACGTTTATTCAACAAAACAACGTTTATTTAACCAAACAAAGTTTATTTCAACGTTGAATCAACGTCGTTTGCCTGGAGGGTAAGTTGAAATGATGAAAATTTTCCTATAAAGTACACGTAGCGAGGCACAAAAACGCGTATATTGAACTCAAATTTATAAGTCTTTACAAACATGGTCGTTTTTCGAAATATAACCATTGATGATTTTTCGAAATTTTCTTCAGGCTGCCCATCCGGTTGAATAAAATAATATTCAAACGAAATAATTAACGATATTACTTCTCAAATTAATGAGGCATGCGTAAGCAGCTTGAAGCTCACGTAAAAATAATTAGCTATGTGCTGAGTTAACGTGGACAAAAAGTATATTGATATTTAATAGACATATGTTAATTATGTTAGGAATTATATCGAAATGAAGAAAAATTTTGTTGACGCGAAGAAGAATCATGTTGACATCAACAAGAATTATATTGATTCGCATCCTTCGTTCAACTGCAATCAGGTCTCTTGTAAAGCAAAAACAGATTTGTACATTTAGTGACTCTAAAAAAGATGAATTTTTTAAAGGGATTCACGGAAAATGGGTAGTCGACTTGTTGCTTTGCGGCCGCCTTACGGCCGCCCCAGGGTCACCAGGGCGACCGTGAATTGTTACCTATACCGCCATTCGCCCGATACCCACACCCTTTATACCCAGGTTAGCTCTAAACCTACCCTATACCTATACCGCCATTCGCCCGATACCCACACCCTTTATACCCAGGTTAGCCCTATACCTACGCTATACCTATACCGCCATTCTCCCTATACCAACACAACCATATACCTATTCTCGCCCAACAACTGCACTCACCCTCCCCCTTCCTTCCCCCGCTCCTCCCCTCACCCCCTCACTTCACAACTTCCCATTGAAGTTGTCTCAAGCATCCCATTTAGGAGCTCATTACCCAAACTTATCTCCTTCCAAGTTCTCTTCAATATCGGATTTATTTCTATGAAATTCCAATTTATTTTTCCATTTTCTGAGAAAATGTTATTGCAAGCGCGTACGTTATTGCAAGCACAGATTATTGTGAATTGCTTCATGTTTCTGTTAGTATAATACAGGATTTTATGCTGTTATTTTGTTTTAATTTAAGTGTGTTTGAAGAAAATATTTTTTTATTTTATTCATGCAGATGACTCTATTTCATGAATTTAACTTAATTACTGGATCAAATTTCCGTGAAATTCTAAATCCAAATAACTTAAATGCTCGGACGAATTACCGTAGACTTATGAGAACCTCCTCGTCATTCACTTGTGATTGTGTTAATAAATAATGCCTTTGCAGATGCATTAAAAGCGTCAATCTGAGACATTTCCTCCAGGTATTAATATTAATTTTGAATCAAGAGATATTTGGACTGATCTTGACTTGCACATGTCTCTCAATGTCATATATTGAATATATGTACCTATCATTATTTATGTTTTTCACCGAATTTACCAATTTTTGTCGATTGATTAACTGGCATTGCATAATCATTATATAATTTGTATTTTATTGGTATATATCGTTGGTAAACTATCAGCATGGCTAACACTTCTTGCCGCTCATTACCAGTTCTTATCATTTCTCAGTAGTTATTTACGTTTCTTAACTGTTCCTCATTGGTCTTTAGAGTTCTCATAGACACGTTTCAGTATTCAAAGATGAATGTCACTTTAGCATCAACCATCATCTTGATAGATGATACGGGATGATAGCAGCTCTGCAGTCTATAAGTACTTATATTATATTAACAGTCTGCTTATATCGCAAGTTCACAAGTGTAATTTAAAAGCTAAGAAAACACCAAGCAAATTCACCATATCGATATTCAATATCGATATTCAATATCGATATGGTGAATTTGCTTGGTGTTTTCTTTGCTTTTAAATTCTCTGCGGTCTAGTCATATATCAGCATAAATGATAACAGTCTTTACATTGTATCTGCGCTCCGGAGGTAGTCTGTATTTAACTCGATCAAAGCCTATATGTAGAGGACGTGTAGGAGTATGTTTACTGTATAGCCTGAAGAGCAAATTACAAAGTTTCGGTGAAGAGCTTCAAGTTTCGGCGAAGAGCTTCAAGTTGAGAAGTTTCTTGGTTGAGAGTTTCAGATTTTGAGGTGTCTAGATAAATAGTTTCAGATTTTGAAGTTTCTAGATGAATAGTTTCAGATTTGTAAGTTTTTGGGTGAAGAGTTTCAGATTTCGAAGTTTCTATGTAAGGAATCAAGAACATTTGGATGAACGTCTAAAATACTGCATTGTGGCCCAGTTTCTAAAGTTCAGAGTACCAGGATTGGGGCACTGAGTTGTGGGTTAGATCCCGGCTACCTGTAACAGTTCTGGTAAAAATCGGCGAGGTGGCCTGGTGGTTAAGAACACACAGATTGATGAAGTGAGTTGCGGGTTAAAAACCCAGCAAGCTGCGAAAATTAAGCACTTCACTAATCGGTGACAGACCATATTTGGCTCTATGAACGCTTACATGCAGCACCATTGGTATTACTCAAAGTTCTGTCGCTTCTCATCTCCGATCGTCAATGTATAACTAATTCGGACTTAAAACGCCAACTTTTGCGCTCGAATCGAAAATTTTGTCGATTCGGCCTGCGATCCTATCTTTACATAACACGCCTTGTTCGAATTTTTCTCATGCAACAATTGCATTCATTTTTAGTCATCTTTTATACTTATTAATTTATTCTCAGTCATGTTTCGCCCTGCGTGGAGAATTTTACGAGTAATGTTTTATTCAATTTTATAAGTAATGTTTTATTCTTAGTAATTAAAAGTGTTGTGAAATATTATCTAACTGTTGTTTATGTTGTTCACAGTTCGCCTGCATGACAGTATACAGGAGGAGTCTTACCACTACCTAGTCTTCGATCTGTGAGTATTGTAGCTTATCATGTATCTTATATATTGTAGTATAACATTATATTTTATAGTGTAGAATTATCTATTTTCTGTAGTTCCTTTTAAGACTAGTCAGTTATGTAAGAGTTATATTTCGATCGGATACCAGACATGCGATCTCACCCAAGTTTTCCAGGCATTCAAATCGAACATTTCCCCAGTGGGGCTACGCCCAAGGCATGAAGCTCTCGCCCTCAGGTCCTCCCTCAAAAAAAAAAAGCCCTCCGCAGTCCCCCCTTCCCCAAAAACGTCTTTCTCAGCCCCTCTTTCCCCAAAATTGCATCTTACAGCCCCCAACCTCCCCCAAAAATATCAACCTCAGCCCTTCCCCATGCTCCCCAAAAAAGTCATTTCCCCTCCCCCACAAAAAAAGTCCCTTTCAGCCTCCCCCCCCCCTCAAAGAAAAAAAATGTCCCCAAACAGGGGATGGGCTGAGGAAGGCAGCCTAGGAAGCGCCCACTCCCAAAGTTAGCTCCCTAATGCGCCACTTCACGACCACGAAATTCTTCCCCGTTGGGATTTCTTTCCTATTGAGGACTTCTTATCTTTCTAGGGTATTTTCTTTCGAGGATATTTTTCTTACTAGGATATCATTCTTTCGAGGATATTATTCTTACTAGGATATCATTCTTTCGAGGATATTATTCTTCCGAGGATATTATTCTTATACTAGGATATTATTCTTCCGAGGATATTATTCTTATACTAGGATATTATTCTTCCGAGGATTATTATTCCTACTAAGATATTATTCTTTAGAGGATATTATTCTTCCGAGGATATTATTATTCCGAGGATACTATTCTTTCGAGGATATTATTCTTTCGATGATATTGTTCTTCCGATGATACTATTCTTTCGAGGATACTATCCGTTCGGAGATATTATTATTTCGAGAATTTTTTATCTACTGAAGATTCTTTTTATAAGATTTCTCTTCCTGCCTAAGGATTCCTTCCTATCTCCCTTGCACCCCATATTTACCCCCGCGTCTCGAGCTCGTCAGACAAATTCAAGACGCTTTCTAGATTGGCAACCGCAAGTTTGTGCGGTGATTGCGAAAAATCTTCTGTGTGAAGGGATCGTTTGTGTTGTGCTTGTGTGCGGAAAAAGTTTGTGTCATGTTTTGGTGCAAATAATTTTTGGGTTGGTGCCATTTTTTGTATAGGAAATGTTTGTGTTCGAGCGATGTTTTCGTGCAAGGAATGTTTGTGGATCAGTCATGTTTTTGTGCAGTTTATGGGTACGTGTAATGTTTTTCGTAGAGAATTTTCGTGACTGTTTTTGTGGTTGGAATGTTTGTGCCATGATTTTGTGTAGGAAATATTCGTGTTGGTGTCATGTTTTGTACAGTGAACATGGTGTTGTACTATAAAATATAATCATATTTGCATACAAAGGACTCGGTCGTTATTTTGTGCAGTGTAATGTAAAACTGTTATATTTCAATTTTCAATGAACTCAGTTTGCGTACAAGAAACGTAGTTATTTTGTTACTAGGGTAGAGAATTCTTTCTGCAATACAAAAATACCAAAAATACCATCCACGGGACTAGGAGTAATTCTAAGACGGCCGAGGTAGAGCCAGCGGTAATCGGCCCCTGTTGCTGAACGGGAATCCACGGCAAAGCCATTCCTGGAATTCCAGTAAATTTCCAAGCTTGGAACGCGTTGGAATTCAGCCCGTGCAAACAGCGACAAGGTTTATCAGCTGTGCAGGCTAACTACTGATGATAAACGTCGCAGCTCGTTAAACCTCTGCCTAATTAACAGCTAATGAAGATCGGTTAACCCCGCCTCATTAGTTTCGATTTGGCCTGTTATTGTTAAAGTTTGCCTGTCTCATTAGGGTCGATTTGTCTCGTTATTGACAGGGATTGTCTCATTAGCTTGGATTTTTCATGGCAATTAAGAACAGTTATTATGATATTTAAGCTTAGTTATCATGTTAATTAAGACTGGTTATTATGGTAATTAAGCTTAGTTATAACGGCAATTAAGAGTGGTTATCACGGTGATTAATAGTGTTAATGATTAAGAGTGGGAATGATGACAAGTAAGTGTAATAACGATGGCAATTACTAGCGCTAATCATGACGGTTATCATGGTTTATAAACAGTTATTGTCATGGTAATGAATGGCAGTTATCAGGACGGTTATCATGGTAATCAATTACAGTTATCGTGGTATTTACGACTGGTAAAATGGTCTTTAAGAAGGGTAATGATGGTAGTTAATAAGGGTAATGATGGTAGTTAAGAAGGGTAATGATGGTAGTTAAGAAGGGTAATGATGGTAGTTAAGAAGGGTAATGATGGTAGTTAAGAAGGGTAATGATGGTAGTTAAGAAGGGTAATGATGGTAGTTAAGAAGGGTAATGATGGTAGTTAAGAAGNTAGAGGTTAATGATTTTAAACCTTTATTTTAATTTGATCAATTGATCAAATTTTGAGTCTTAATTCTTTACGTTTCAGCTTATTAAATATTGTCTTGAATATGATTATATTATTTATATCTCATTTATGACTTTAACCCCCTGACAAATTTCTTCACCCCAGTCGGAGAACTTTTTCTTTTAATAATAGGCAATAATAAACAATTAAATTTTTGGTCTTGAAAGTGTTGATATCTCAATAAAACTAAATATTTCCTCATATATATTAAATGATTTGATCTCACTGACACCTACTTCTTCACCCCCAGCCGGAGAATTTTTCTTTTAATCTGAAACAATAAACAATTACATTTATGGTCTATATAAGGTTTATATCTCAAAAAAAAAAAACATATATTTTCTCATATAAAGATTTTTATCTTACTGACGCCTACTCCTATCTTCACCCCCAGCCGGAGAAATTTTTCTTTTATTAATATGAAACAATAAAAATTAAATTTTTGGTCTTTTAAGTGTTGATATTTAAAAAAACTAAATATTTTCTGATATATATTAAATAATTTGATCTCAGTGACACCTACTCCTGTCTTCACCCCCAGCCAGAGAATTTTTCTTTTAATAATTTGAAACAATAAACAATAAAATTTTTGGTCTTTGTAAGGCTGATGTCTCAAAAAATTAAATATTTTCTCATTTATATTAAATAATTTTATTTCACTGACACTCCTATCTTCACCCCCAGCCGGAAAATTTTTCTTTTAATAATCTGAAACAAACAATTGAATTTTTGTCTTTATTAGGTTGATATCTAAAAAAAATATTCCCTCACATATATTAAATGATTTTAATCTCACTGACACCTACTTCTATCTTCACCCCCAGCCGGAGAACCTGCTGCTGGCGAGCAAGGCCAAGGGCGCGGCCGTCAAACTCGCCGACTTCGGCCTCGCCATCGAAGTCCAGGGCGACCAGCAGGCCTGGTTTGGTACGACGAACATTACATGAAATAATGTTGAATATTATCAATAAATAATAATATTGAAATGAATGAAACCGTCAGATAAAATAGAAGAAATATAAATAAATATAAAAAAAACTGAAAGATAAAATGGTAGGAAGTGGAAGGAAAGTTTTCGAGTGAAAGAAAGGAGGAAAAATTAGTTAGTATTAGCTAATCAATTGTGGGGAATGGAGTGGGGGAAAGAGTGGAACGTTTTGTCCGGGGCAGAAGAGAGAGCATCGTAAAGCTATAACGAACAAGAGAAAAGAGTTAAAGAGAAAGAAGGCAATACAATTAGGGCTTCACCCCCCCCTCCCCCGCACCTCCCGCCACTTTAACTCAATTTTCTTATTGGAGCTCCCGGAGCGGCCGCGCCCTGAACCGTTAACCGTAACCTTATTACGGCTGCCGTAACCGTACGAGTGGCGGTGTTCGTTTGCCGTAATCCTGACTGATGCTAAAAAATTAGTTCAGATGCTTTACTTTTCTTGATTTTGTTCTAATTTTCTTGCTTTAACGCAAATAAAAATGAGATGCAAAAAAAAGTAATGGGCGATGCGGCTGAAGTGACGCCACAGAAGTGAATTAGTGACCCTTGCATTCTGACCTACTTATACTGACCCACTTACCCTGACCCACTTATCCTGACCCACTTATCCTGACCCACTTATCCTGACCCACTTACCTTGACCCACTTATCCTGACCCACTTACCTTGACCCACTTACCCTGACCCACTTACCTTGACCCACTTACCCTGACCCACTTACCCT